GCATTGTTACCATTGAAATAACATTGTTGTTTTGTAATTATATATGGGTGACTCAATAAATATTAAATATGGAAAAAATAATTTTGCTCACTTTACAAGTTTAAAAAAGTGTAGCAGTTTTGTAAAAAAAAAAAAAAAAAATCTTGGAACGTATGAATTTTGCTGTAATAGCCTTATCAAATGTATCAGTGCTCTCATATATATTGATTTGTTGGTGTTTATATGTCAAAAAAAGCCATTTTAAATTATTATTTTACTGATTTCTATTGTATAATTAATCAGGTTTTATTAATTTTAATAGATGATGTTTCTTGCCCTCTTTTTTAAGTTTCTATATTAAAACATTATACATCAATTTGTTTTTTTAATTTTACTATTATTGAATATTAAATAAAAGCTTTTATTATTGTTTTTACATTTGAAATCAATATAAAAAATACTTATTAACAATATGGTAATATCATTCACTAAAAATAAAATGAAAGTTAAGAAATAACAAATTCAAAGATAATTTTATATCTCAACACTGCTATCACCTACTATTGAACCAACTTATTCACTGTCTTACAGATATTATAAATTTTCCAACTAGAAATATCACTAAAATGACTATTCAAAAATGTTGAAATTGGAGTTAGTCATTCTGTCAACTGGAAAGCTCTTATATAGGTTGTCTTCAAATATAAATTATTGTCCTAATTAGGGCATACAAAATAACTTTTATTAGATCAAGCAAAACAAACTTTCAAGCAATTTTGTTCGAAGTAATATTGCTTGGTAATATAGATATGGCCTGCCGATGGTTGGAACTAGCCAGAGACCCCTTCTCTGGTAAGTATTGGAATCTACCAGTGATAGCCAGCACCCTAGGGAGAGGAAGCGAAGGTGACAATATATTATAGCGGCCACAAGAAGAATCACTCATTTGGCACTGGGTTCGTTGTGAGAGGTTGGATGAGACAACAGGTTATTGGATTAAACCCTATTAATGATCACCTATGTTCCATCCACATCAAGGGAACCTTCTGCAATTACATGTTCTTTAGCTGTCATGGACCTACAGAAGCCTCAAGTGACGATGAGAAAGACACCTTTTATGATGCTCTGAGGCCAGGCCTTTGATGCATGCTCCAGATCCGATATCAAAATCCTACTGGGGGATTTCAATGCAAAGATTGGAAGAGAAGATGCATATAAACCCATGATTGGCTCATTCAGTTTGCATGAGAGAAGCAATGAAAATGGCAAGAGGGTCATTGCTTTTGAAGCATCAAGAAATCTAGTAGTTGGGAGTACTCTGTTCCCGGGGCAGCGGATTTACAAGGTTACATGGAAATCACCCGATGGCGTTACCCATAACCAGATTGACCTCATCTTAATTAGTGCACGTCACAAATCCAATCTCCTTAGTAGTGAGACTTACAGAGAAGCAAATGTTGACTCTGACCATTACCTTGTAATATCAAAAATTAGAGCCAGGATTACCACCGTCAGGAACTACAGGACTGAAAGGTCCAAAAGGTGGAACATCAGAAAGCTGAAGGACCCAGAAAGCTGCCAAGCATTTCACCAGAAAATGGAAGAATTGGTGAGAGAGGGGCTCAGACTAGCTGACGTCGAAAATGTACAGGATGTCTGGGACCAACTGGAAAAGGCTTTGGACAGCGCAGCCGAACAAATCCTTGGGAAGGAGGTTGTTAAGGGTCTAGGTAAATGGTTCGGCAAGGAGTGTAAGTTGGTCAATGATGCAAAGAATGAAGCTTACAGGAACATGTTAAATAAGCGCTTCACCAGGAGAGCCACGGAGGAATATAGAAATAAAAGATGGCTGGAGAAGAAACTCCTCAGGAATAAGAAGAGAGTATGGGAGAGAACGGAGCGAAAGATATAGAGGCCCATTGGAGTGTAAAAGAAAGTAGGAAATTCTTTCAGAAGGTCAATAGTGGACGTGCCGCTTTTAAGCCCAGGATTCAAACATGTAAGAAAGAAGATGGAACACTGCTTACCAATAAGCCGGATATACTGGATCGGTGGGCTAGGCACTTCCGTTTGTTATTAAATGAGGAAGCAGTTATAGAGGATATAGAGGCACACAACATTGCTGGAGAGGATATGCCTAACAATCTTGGAGATATCGAGCCCCCGGACTTTGAGGAAGTAATGGATGCAATCCTTCGCATGAAAAACAATAAGGTGCCGAGATCGGATGAATGACCGGCCAGCCGAGCCGGTTTTTGATTTGAAATTTGATTTGTTATCTCCCCATTTGAGAGTTTCTTTATGAATTTCTTTGTGTGGGAAATGTGTGCTTTTAATTGTCATGTTCTTTTCCATGGCAAAATCGATAATTCTTAGCCCATTATCGTTTGACACATTGTGTTTACTGTGTGGTCCAATTGTGGGCCTAAAAGTCACTTCTTTACCGACCATGGCATTCATATCTCCCATAATTATTTTTACGTCATGTCCAGACAGCAAATCATATTCTCTAGAGAGGGTATCATAAAAATTATCCTTGTCATCATCCTCACTTTCCTCTATTGGTGCATGTACACTTATTATCGATGTATTAAAGAACCTCTCTTTTAAACGGATCACACATAATCTTTCATTAACAATTTTAAAGTTCAAAAGTAAATACTTCAGACTTTTGAAACCTGTGCCCAGGTAGTTTCGTTGGTGTCCACTATTTATGATCGTATACTTCTTAAGGTCCATTATCTCTGTTTTTCCCCATTTTATTTCTTGCAGTGTAGCTATATCCACATTGTACTTCTCCTGCACTTCCTCCAAGTTTTTGCTTGTTCCAGCTTGGGCCATTCCTCTAACATTCCACGTCGCCAGCATTAAAGATTTCAAAATTCCTTTGACCAGCCTAGGCTTTTCTTTGTATGTGGTTTCATAACGATTGTGTTTTTCCGGGATAGGGGCATTAATCCTATGCCCAACCTCCAACCTGAAGGGCGGGGATTTTTAATCAGGATTTACTCCCTTAGCATCTGAACTTTCGTTCTCACCCATAAGGCCATGGAGGATAGGTATTCAAGGAATAAAAGGATTAGGCTGAGGGGGACTATTGGAAAGGGAAGGAAGATAGGATAAGGTAAGAGGTCGACGGTCAGTTGTCTCTTTAGTCGCCTTTTACGACAAGCGGTGAATACTGTGGGTCTCCTCTAACCCCGTACCCACAGGGGGGGTGGTTTTTTATTACAAATCTGAATAAAGATTAAATAAAAATATACTCGGGAGCTGTGGGATAATAACCCGCTCTCCTTAAATATAAACTATTATGAGATCTCTAAAAGAGGAGGCCAGGACCCACTAAGGGTTGTAGAGCCGTTAAGATAGATAAAATATACTGTAGATTGGGATCAAATCACGGACTATGCAGTACCTATTTACACTGTATAGGAATTTTGAATTTGGATCAATGTGTAAACTATATAATTCATGAAACATTATACCATATTGTTATGGAATGCGAGGATTATGAATCTCATAGAAGAAAACTTTTCCAATCCCTAAACTTTCTAGCTGATTGTATAAATTTATCCAATGCCAATACGGAACAATTCCTATGACAGAGATCTGGGAGGCAAATAAAATTGTATTACCAATATACATGAAAAATTTATTATTTTTACAAATATAATGTGTATTTAGGAAATTATTTTTATTACAATTCATCCCAGATCATGGAAAAACAAGAAATAAAAGCTTTGCAACAATTAATTATAGACATTTTTGCTGAAAACGAGGGAGGGTACTTTGAAGTGACAGGATAGAAAATCACATCATTTCTTTACTACACAACTTGATTTGAATCTCAAATGTTTGCCTAATATACCTTAACTTAATTAATATGGACTTAAAGTTTATTAAAGGAGGAAGTTTTCCTAAAGTTGGGTATCTGTAGTATAGTCGGATAATGTTAAAAACAAATCGCAAATAATTTATGATATTTTTTTTTAAACAGAACTAAGTTTAGTTTAACTAAGTTTATAAGTCCTCTTTAAATGGTTTTAATAATGAGAAACTCAATTTTTATTAGTAAATTTTATCTAGTTTATAGCGAAGTAATAGTCAATTATTTAAATTAAATATTTCTTTAGTTATCACTATTTTAAAAAAAATGTAACACTTAAAAAGACAGAAAACTTGGATTTTCTGCTGAAAATTAGTCCATTGTTTATATGAAGTTTTTTGTAGCTCTTGAGGTCTGTTATTATTTCTATGAAAAATTCCCTCTACTAATTGGACACCATGTATATTCTGATATATTGCTTCTGATTCTAAGATAATTAAATGCTGATTGTATTAGTTTTTTTAAAATGAATATTGCATTTTTATACGATAAAATCGTCTCTAAATACTCAAAAAAAAAAAGCGTTTTTTGTTACATTAGAAAAAAAAAGTCATTACGTCTGTGTTTCATACAAGTAGATTATACTAGTCAAGTGAAAAAATTGAAGTTAGTGGTACAAGTTAAATAGCAAATAGTTAAAGACATTGAAGGAAAAGGTAATTTTCCATTAGTCTATATTGGCTATATTCCATTAGATTATTCCATTATTCTATATTCCATTGGCTTTTGCCTATTTTGGCTTTTGCCAGATTGCCATGGGGTAAATATTAAAAAGGAGAGGAGGGAGAGATTCTCCTTGTCTGAGCCTATTTTATATGCTAAATGATACCAATGAATACCTTTGACAACTTACCTGTCTTAGTCTGAGCTATGTAAGTGTCATGGGAAATGTCTTGGCCTGCATCATGGTTTTAAAAAGATCATGTATTTGAATGTCACAATTGACTTAAAATCAATGAACAATGTCCAAAATGATAGTTCATATAATTTCCTTTTTTTCTTTGATTTAGTTTATTGTATATATTCTTGTTGAAAAATGAATATTTCAAACCAATATCCATACGCTTTAAATATGTTAATATAATTATATGCACTCAAGAGCTCTATTATCTAGTTTTGTCTGGTTTCTGTTTAGATTGCAAAACAAGCTCTTGATGAAATGGTTATACTTCCATCTTTGCGACCTGAACTTTTTACTGGTCTAAGAACACCTGCTCGTGGTTTGTTATTATTTGGTCCTCCTGGTAATGGTAAAACTTTATTAGCCAGAGCAGTTGCAACAGCTTCAAATTCTACATTTTTTAGTATAAGTGCTGCAAGTCTAACTTCAAAGTATGTGGGTGAAGGAGAGAAACTTGTTCGTGCACTATTTGCGGTTGCAAGGCAGCTGGAAGTACGTATATGTTTCTTCTTATAAGCAATACCAGTTTGCTTAATTTTTTGTTTTTGCTTAAAATTGCTTCAGTGAATATTGTATGTTATAAATAAATTTGGTTTTTCAGATTTAGATAAACTCCAGTTTTGTATAATATTTTTTTCCATTTAATAAACAATGCTTTTAATTTTAGTATATGAATTTCCCCTTTCCAGGGAAGATCTGCTGCTGGGTAAATTCACTGATCAGCCCTATTTTTCATTAGCAGGTGTGAAGAAATGGTTTTAATGTTTTATTAATGAACAAGCATCACTTTAATCGAATAATTATGTTAAATCTTTTTATTTTAAAATTTAATTGAATTAATCATAGCTTGGATTATTTAAAGTTAGGAATGACTTACTTATCCTTTCTGGAATGATTAAATCCTCTGTCATAAACAACTAAACTTACAATCTAATTATCTAATTAGATTACTACAGTCATTAAATCCATTTTAAAGCAAGGAGGTATGAATAATGAGGATTTAATTTAATCTATAAAGAATTTGTTTACAACTTGCAACATTAAATAATAGACATCTCACCTTCTTCATCTGTTTTGTCCATCTTTTCAGCTATATTTTTCTTTAAGTACCTCACACTGCTCACAAGATTAATGATTTAATTACTTCCACAATCAAACAGCACCATTACTTTGATTTGTTACCAGCTGCAAGTTTTATCATTCTTGTCATTCAAACCATTCCTTCTATTCTCAAACCATTTCTTGTAGTGTTAACTAATTATTTTCTCAACAACCTTTTAAAATTACTTTAAACAATTTTTTTAATTGTAGCCTATCCAATATTTGACATAACACCCGATACTGGTAACTAGTAATAGTACTGCTATTGGTGGTAGGAATTAGTTAGGCAGGTGGGCTTATTAGATCTGTTTTACCAACTCCTATCAGCTACTTCAAGGTTGCCGCCCAGTCCTAATCAATATAACCATAGTGGTAGTGTCAATATTCATCCTACATAAATTCTAGGTTGTTACAAAATTATTTATGCAATAAATAAGTTTTTTTAAATAAAAATTTAATAATTAATTTATTTTACTTTTTTTATTCTTGTAATGTAATTGTTGTCACTTCCATATATAATTTATTACAGCCATCAATTGTGTTCATTGATGAGATAGATTCAGTGCTGAGTGAACGTAAAGAAGGTGAGCATGAAGCTAGTAGACGTCTTAAAACTGAATTCTTGGTAGAATTAGATGGTTTACCTGCCAGTAATGATTACCGAGTACTAATAATGGCTGCCACAAACAGACCTCAAGAACTGGATGAAGCACTTCTAAGGTATTGTTTTAAAAAACAAGTATCAATATTTTATGAAAAAGGTCAAGTTATGTTTTTATTTACCTAATAAATATTATTAAAACCCACCACCTTTCAAACATACTTGCTCTTTTCAAATAAGTTCTATATTCCCAAATATATTGTTGGAAAACAATTATTTTATTTTTCTTACTCATTTTCACCCTGACTTGGTTTACTTACTAATCAAAGTTTGTTTTCTAGGAGCATACAAGGGATCAGGTTCAAAATTAAATATATTTTATATATCACCCCCATGTGGTATTCTATTTGCATAAAATACGGTATGGCCTTTCTAATGTACCAATGTACCAATGTCACATTTCTAATTTGGTCTGGTAGGGCCATTAATTGTAAATTAATCATTGTAAACATTTAACAATAAATTTTTAGATTGTGATAATAATGTAAAAGAAAATGGAGCATGCCGGTATTTTAATTGAAAATTTAAGTCAATATAATTTTAAGAGGTAGTAGTTTTGGTGAATACAATTTACATTATATTTTTTTCATTCTGGATATGATTTATGGTATATATTATACAAACTGTATTTTTACATATTATACATAATAAACTTATTCAATATGTCAACCGGATCGGTCAGAATATTGTTATTATCATCCCTAATTCCAGACGTTATGGGCCCTACATATTTACGTGATCTGTTTATACCTTTGTACATGTCTCTTACATTATTTTCGATTCTATTAGTTTCTATTTCAATTATTTTATTTTTAAGATACTCCCTTTTTTTATTTTTGAGCAATTTTGTCGTTCCGTTCTTTGAGGTTTGGAAGTATTCCAGATTGTCTTCGCTAGGATTATTTAGATCTTTTAATTTAGCGCCTTTTCTTTTTTCACACATGTTTAAGCAATCTTCATCAAACCACGGTTTGTTATTCTTATTTTCCTTTTTTCCTAGACACGAGTTACCGACTGCTTTAATATTATCTCTGATCTCTATCCATAACTTGTCAATATCCTCGTGGTCCTCGTCAGGAAGCTCTAAAGCTTCAAACCTATTCTTAACATCTAGCTCGAATTGGTTTCTAATTGATGGATTTTTTAATTTTTCCAAATTAAAATTCTCAAAATCGAAACGGTTTTCTTTTCTCTTTTTTATATTAAGTTTTTGTCGAAGTTTCGCGATTACCAATTCATGATCCGACCCACATTCTGCTCCGCGATAAGACTGTACATTAATTATACTGCTTTGCCAGACATGATCGATTTGATTTCGTGTTTGCGAATCCGGTGATGTCCAAGTATATTTATGAATATCCTTATGTTTAAACGTCGTACTTTCAATTATCAGGTTTTTCGAGATGGCAAAGTTTATCAGACGGATCCCATTATCATTACTATATTCGTGCAAACTTTCTTTACCAATAGTCGGAATATAAACTTCTTCCCTTCCTAACTTTGCGTTTGCGTCACCTACAATTATTTTCATGTAGTTTCGAGGTAGTTTATCATAAACCCATTCGAGTTTATCGTAAAATTCACTTTTGACTTCATCGTCACTGTCTTCGGTCGGACAATGTATGTTTATTAATGCGATTTTAAACCAACGTCCCTGAAATATAGCTACCGAAATTCTATCACTAAAGAATTTTACATCCCTCAAAGCGGATAGTAATCTACTCCTAATTAGAAACCCGGTACCTAAACAATGATTCCCGCTTCCTCCGTACCAAATAGTGTACTTTCCTTCCCTCATCGAGCCCTCCCCTGGCCAGCGAACCTCTTGCAGAGCCACGACATCCAAATTGTACCCATTTACCTCATTCGCGACCGATTTTAGCCCCCTGCTGTGTTTAAACTCCTTACGTTCCACGTACCAATATTTAAATCCCTATATTTCAACTTGCGCCATGAATCCCCTAAAGCAGTCCCCACCCGGAGACCCGAACGGGGGACTAGTTTACCTCCGGATAATGAGCGTTTTACCTTAGGGAGATCCATGACTTTTTGTGGTGTTTGGTGAACTAAAGATATGTGAGTAGGGCGTTCAATCCTACGTCACACCCTCCAGCAAGTCTGGTGGGCCCCTACCTCCAGCAAATCTGGAGGTCCCCTCCCTCCAGCAAGTCTGGAGGGCCCCTCTCATTGTTGGTCAGCGAGTCCATCGGACTTAGCTGGGAGGAACTTCCAAGGAATTTCCACCGACCATCCCCACATCCGCCACCCGTGGGACGCTCCCCATACGTGGTAATGAGCCCGCACGAGTTTGAATAAGTTAAAGGAACACTTTGACAATATTTTAAATACAGGAAATTATGATCTGTGTCCTCCATCTGAGTACCAGAGTGCTGAACCGTTAATAGAAGGACCAAGTAAAGAGGAAGTTGAAGTAGCTATCGGAAAATTAAAATCATATAAAGCAGCGGGAACCGATAATATTCCTACTGAACTAATTAAGGCATGCGGGGAAGCTGGAGTTTCTAAAATACATCGGTTGGTTAAAAAGATCTGGGTGAATGAGAAATTACCTGAGAAATGGAAAGAATCTATTCTTATTCCGATTCACAAAAAGGGCCTCAGGACGGATTGCAATAACTATCGAGGAATTTCACTCCTTCCGGTATGTTATAAAATATTCACTTTAATCCTTAACCAATCGAATCACAGAATACGCCAAGGAAATTATCGGAGACTACCAATGCGGATTTAGACGGAATCGTTCGGTATTGTTCACCAGCTGTATATAGATTTTAAAAAGGCTTACGATTCTATTGACCGCCAGAAACTGTATAATATTCTAATCGAGCAGGGGATTCCAAAAAAACTAGTAAATCTAGTCAGGATGTGCTTGACGGAGACACTCAATAAAGTTAGAATCGGTAATAATTTGTCCGAAAAATTTGAGGTTCGTTCGGGTTTAAAACAGGGGGATTCTCTTTCGCCTGTCCTGTTCAATTTGGCATTAGAACATGCCATTAGGGAGGTAATGCGAACCGAGAAAGGGTTGGATCTGGGCGGGACAACATCCGTGCTGGGCTATGCTGATGATCTGGTACTGTTAAGCGAAGACGTTGAAACTATAAAACTAAATACGACAACGTTAATGAAAGCCGGTAAAGAACTAGGACTCGAAATAAACGTGGATAAAACAAAATATATGGTTAGCTGCAAAAATGGCGATACTACTGGTGATATCGATATAGATGGTAATATGTTTGAACAGGTAGATAAATTTAGGTATCTAGGTTCTACGATAACTAGAAAAAACGAAATTGAAGAAGAGATTAAGGTTAGACTGAAGGCGGGAAATGCTTGTTATTTTTCTGTGACAAAACTACTTAGTTCGCGCCTCTTGTCCCGGAACTTAAAAATTAGAATCTATAAAACAATTATCTTGCCTACAGTTCTTTATGGATGCGAAACTTGGCCGCTTACATTAAGGGATGAGCAGCGTCTTAAGGTTTTTGAAAATAAAGTATTGCGTAGAATATTCGGACCGAAGAAGGATGAGTTAACCGGAGAGTTCAGACGGTTACACAACGCCGAATTGCGTGAGCTGTATCCGGGTAATATAATTGAGGTAATTTCATCGCGGCGAATCAAATGGGCTTGTAAAGTTGTTGGGCTTAGTAACGAGAGAATTCCTAAAAGGTTAATATTTGCTGTGCCGAATGGTAAGCGTCCGAGAGGTAGACCGAAGCGAAGGTGGGAAGATTGCATTAAAGCCGATGTGAAGGGACTGGGTTTGGATGGCGAACGGTGGAGGGAGGTGTGTAATAAGCGATTGGTGGTGTCGTCATCGAACCTTCGGGTTGGCTAAGCCTTTTATTATTATTTCCTTTTCTTTATTTCCTGTACTGAATAATTTTTGTTGGAACTCATCCTCATCTCAATAGTTTTGCCTCTTTCCGAATATGGATTTTCCTCTCTTTTTTTTTCTCCAAATATTTTTGACTTACCAACACATTGCTCTCACATGGCAAATTTTCTTCTTTGTTAATCAGTGCAGTGCTTTGAATGCTTTATATTTATTATTATATACATAATAAACTTATCTTTATTTCCTGTACTGAATACTTTTTGTTGGAACTCATCCTCATCTCAATAGTTTTGCCTCTTTCCGAATATGGATTTTCCTCTCTTTTTTTTTCTCCAAATATTTTTGACTTACCAACACATTGCTCCCACATGGCAAATTTCCTTCTTTGTTAATCAGTGCAGTGCTTTGAATGCTTTATATTTGCAAGACACTTATCAAGCTAACATAGTCTACATTTGTCTCCTTATTTCAAGATCTTAGTGAATTTTGAAATTTCAGATGTGTCGTTATCTTAATAATCGTCTGCACCTTTATGTTTCTCTGTATGTAAATGTGTTTTAAATATACACATTTAATCTCATAACAGGTTACATCAATATCTGTGTGTTATACTTAATTCTTCCATAAATGCTATTACAAAATTTGAACTTTGTTTATGTTCTTGGGTATTATTTAGATAATCCTTACCTTTATCAGGTTATTTTCATTACATGTCAGGATGATAATCCCAATTAGTTTATATTTTTCTTTTGCTCAGTTAACATGGAGTGAGGGGAAGTTGTGAAGGTTGGGGGTCACTGATTTCATTGAAGCTTCTTTGGATGATACCAGATAAAAAAAAAAAAAAGACCCAAATGCATCCTAGATACCGAGAAAAAAATGTTGCTAATTATATCAAATGGATTCAAATATATAAGGAACTTTCAAGAACCCAAACACGCTTCCAATAAAATAGTTAAAGTAAATTTTTGTTTTGAAAAAGCAATTCAGATTCATTTCTAGCATCCATTAAAACTCATAAATACAAATTAACATTTTTTTTTAATTAAATTTTTGAACTTGATTTTACTGTAGGTTTATTTTTCCTGTTGTTCACTAAAGCAATTATCTCAGAATTTTCTCCAAATTCAACATTACTTCAATTATTGGAAAGCTAAATGTCTGTATATCCAACCCATATCAATAATTTTTTTTATT